ACTGAACTTCTGCAGTATGTGGTCGTGTATCATTTGCTGTATAGAACTGGTTGGTGTGACCGTTAAATAATGGTTGGGTTATTTTTTCCCAAAATCAGCGAACCAACCGAAACGATGGCGTTTCCGTGTTGAGCGGTTTTTACTTGAGTGTTGAAAGTAATTCGAATTTGCTTTGGTCAGGGGCTCAGTCACGGTATTTTGAGTTATTTTGGCCAGATGCAAAATTACCTTTTTTTTTCCTACCAATTAAAATTGGTAGGAAACCTGAAAATAACAGTTTAACAAGATAGAAAAACACCAAAGAGATAATGATAAACTATAAAGGAACAAGGATGGCTAAAATAAGGATGGAGAAGATTGACACGGATTACAAACGACGAATTTGAAAAATTGAGGCTAAACTTTTTAATATGCCCAAACCGTGACTAAGCTCCTTTAGCTTTTACTACCAAGCGAAGTGGTGGACTTAGAAAGCTCGCTCTGCTTATTCAAACAGAAATCAAACCAGAATCAACGTAACTCGCTTACACGTGTTTTCCGGCACTCCGCGCCATTTAACGTTTCTTCTAGCCTTGATTGTTCCGACTGGAATTTCTGTGTGGCCAGCTGACTGATTACTTTGATTAAAGCAGTTTACATGGTTTCTTCTAGTCTTGATTGTTTCGACTGGAATTTCTGTGTGGTCAGAGTGATTACTTTGGTTAAAGCAGTTTACAACACTCTACAGCCACTCCACTGAATTCTATAATTTGGCCAGCTGGTTCATTACGCCTGCTTTCCATCTATTGGAGACTCTGAAACTGGGATAAATGAAGAAATGGTGAAGAATTTCCCAACGGTTCGTACCAACCTACCAACTGGAACGCTAGGATTCCTTCAGACTTTGTAGACAGTTTCCAGCCAATTTCCGAAAAACAACTGTGCTATTTGCTTGCCAACAGAAATTATTGTGGGATTTTTGGCTGAATGAGAAACACTTTGAACATCTCAGGCTCTTTCCATGCCCAATTGGAACGGCGGAACTCTGGAAATTTTCATTCCATTACTACATTCACCAACTATCACAGCGTGGATACTGAATCAGTGAGTAGCATTGCGGATTTGGTGACAGAATTCAAAAATTTAGCATTTTGTATGCGTAAAAACAATTTATATTTCGATTGTTGCCTTACAAATACTTGCAAAACAAGAAACACCTCAGAACAACCTCGAATTGCTTTGTGTCAATTTGCTTCCAGTTTATTTAACTCACTCTAAATAAAAACCAGTTCAAGTCAAGGCTCTTGTTGAGTGCCTCCTAATAGAAATTCTACCTCGTTATCGGTTTGGCCTATGGCCAGTATAACTACGAGGGAAAATTAAGAGGTGAACAGTGTTCGCCTGACTGAAGCGGCGCATCCACGGCCGCGGACTATCACCTACCACTATCGACTGTTTTCAGTATTTCGTAGCATGCGAGCAGGCTATTCACGGAGAGCACCCATCTCGCAGACTACGCGTTTCGAAGAAGGCTCTGGAGATCTGTTTCTGAAGACAGAATAGATACGAGAAAAGGTTGACAACAAGGCTTAAGACGGAACTATGGATTCTCCGAGAGGTGTCTATTATTAATTCAGTAAATATTATTTACCAATTAAATTATGAGCTTTGAGATTTCTCGAGATTTCTACTCAGGCTGCGCCTTCATGCCCTATCGCGCATAGAAATCGAGAGCGAAAAATTTATTTGTTTTAGTCAGAAATCTAGTTTATGTAGTCGCTCAAAGCTTTAATCTAAATCGTCTTCCGAGAGTAGGAAGCGCAAAGAAGCTGCCCCCAGTACACTCTGCTAGGCTACTCACTATCTACTTAAATTATGAGCTCGACATTTCTATCACGCGTAGAAATCGAGAGCGAATAATCTAATTGTTTTTGTATAAATCTACTAGTTGTTCAAAACTTTATCAAAATCCTCCTCACTTCACAGACACTTCGAAAACACCAAGAAGCGGCCGTCATTTTGTTAACTAGGGCACACTGCTACGCTACTCACCATCTATCACAGAATAGATAGTGAATAGCGTAGCCAATCAGAGAACGGCATCCGTGATAGAACGCTAGTAGATTTATACTAAAACAGAATAGATTGTGAGTAGCGTAGCCAATCAGAGAGCGGCATTCGTGATAGAACGCAAGCAGATTTAAATTACTTGCACTTAGTACAGGCGGTGATATTTATTCATAGGGCCGGAGTTCGACCTCGCTAAATTATTGTTTGAAAAATAGTTTCTGACAGAATCCCTAAAAGTGAAGGGAAACAAGCAACCAAGCAACCAACGAGCCAAACAAACGAACTGAGTAATAATAATAGTAAGCATGCATTCACGGCTGTCAAACTTGCGTGACATGAACAAATACCGCTGAAGAGATTTATCGACGGACGACCAAGGTGGCAACGCGGAAAAACTCGATCATGGCCATGTGAGTTCTTTCCCGTATCAAATCTTAGTTATCATTCTTGCCTTTTAGCACTTGAAGGCTTCTGATTGAATCAATTTTACCCCAAGTCAGTTATATTCAAAACATTCGATACGACAGTCACAACGCCGGCTAGTGACAGTGCTGAGATCGGTAAGTCATACTGAATAATCACGAGGAATGTTAAGTTGAATTTATGCTTTACATGTAAACAAGGTAAAGTTTCACTTTTCACTGATTCATATCGGCGTGCACGGATCTTGGCTAAAGGTGTTATGTAGAGCAAAACTGCTAAATAAGTGAGCGCGTTTTGTAGACTGTTTATCTTTAAATGAAGGTGTTATTGTCAAGTAGAAATATACAACGGAGAGATCCGTAGAGGGATCACGAAAATTCGACGGCTATCAAAACGGTATATTGATGAAAATCGAAAATATGTTATTGGCTTAAGGGAAATGTGTCAAATATAAGTTAACTTAAGTTTGGATATGGTTCAAATGCACATCTTTCGAAGCATTGAGTAGATGTATACGACGAGATCTTCGATCATCGACTCAAGAATATTCTAAAATGTAAATAATACTCAATAACTTGACAGGGGTCGATTATGCAAATTGCCGCAGGCGAGGGCCGATTCATTTAATTTTATATCGCACGAAAGCTTTTGAAATAAAATAAAATAAAATTACTCCCACCTTGTTTTATTTGAAAGTTACGAATTTAAGATTTCATACTTAAAAATTGTAATCGTCTGAAATTCGATACGGTATGTCTGTTTTTTGTCTTACTGTAGATTCTAGTACGAATCGTAAATATTTAAATTAATTATTTGGGAAATATTTATTTCATCAATTGGCCGGCAGCTTCTATTTTACATTCTAAGCTATTTGATGTTAAGTCAACCGACAAATGGCGAAACCCTTCTCAGGCCACTATTTTGTTGACTTGGTTGTATATTCAGGCGCTTGTCATGTGGCGCGTGACGTTAGCCTCAAATTTAACTCGTCACGCAATCTTGTGTGACGAGGACAAAAAGCATCTGCGTTTTTTCCTGTGCTTTGTTTTCAGATGTATAAAGTTTCACACTCAGTGTAGACCAGAGTAAAGAGATGTCGTGGTTCTTTTGGACGTGCCTTATATCTGTAACTTTGCTTCAAATTCCAGGTAAATAATCACTCGTTATTCCATAGTTTTCTAGTGATTATGGTAGAATGCCTTCACGAGAATTTGACATCTCGCAGTCAGTAAGTGTTTCGGCATTATTGATAAGAGTTGGCTTGTTTATAAGCTTCTGGTTTTCAGGTATTACCACAAATGAAACGTGGAAATACTTTAAATTTTGATGTTCGGTCCTGAGTGCTCTTCGGCTTAGCTGGTTTTCTGTGAGACAGTTTTTGTCCGTCCGCAATCTCCTAATCGAGACAACAACGTGATATTCTGGATTTTGCGCCTAAATTCCGCCAGCAAAGCAGGCCTTACAAGAATAAAACTTCTCCTCCTATAATGAAAATAACAACTCTCATCCCCAACCCCTAACTTGCGATCAGCCTTTTTCTTATTTGAAAGGGAGAAGGGAAAAACAAAACAAAACAAAACAAAAAAACACCTGATATATTTATTACACCAACCACCGGCCAACCCCCCCCCCCCC